TATCGTGGCTTTTAGAATTTTTCGTGCACCATTGTATATCTCTCTTTCCTCGGCTATTTTTCTCTGCGTCCTCTCTTTTCATTTGCTAATAGTTTTCATTTGTATTTTCGTATTTGTAAAATTTTCTATTTTGCTAAAAAAAAATATAATGAAGTAGTAAGCAACTCTATGAGAAGGTCAAGAGAATATTTCTAGGAAGATGCACAACAAATACCACTCAGTTATGAGTGAATATAATGAGTATGTGCAGTTATCATTTAGAAATGCACTGCTATTTTAAAGTTTAAACAGTAAAAAGTAAGCCTTGGCATGTATTTAAAATTTTAAAACAATTTAGTTTTGTCTATAATTGTATTTTAATTCGTTAAAATCAGTCACCATAATTTTATTTATAATAAAATTTTTTCCTTAATTACGCAGATTAGAATATATTATCACATGAATATTACAAAATAATATTATAAATATATTGTTTTAATTTTATTATTACTATAATTTAATATAATGTCGTATTTTTTTACTTTCATTGTTTCTCTTTTCTTATATATTTCTCTCTGCCTCGGATTCCTTTCTCTCTAGCCTATAGCCTATCCACGTTTTCAAAATGTTAGGAGCAGTGCTAGGGACACTCGCCTCCTGCACTCTCCAACCAACACATGCTTTTTTATTGGACCACGTAAGCTATGCTGGCTATGAAATGATTACCTCTCTATACCAACATAACGTGGGCCAATGAAAATGGACGTGTTGGTTGGAGAGTGCAACTGGCGAGTGTTCCTAGCATTGCTAAAATGTTAATGGAATATTTTTCTCTGCCTCGGGTCTAGAGCTCAGCTCCATGCCTCCATGTGAAACGCGTCCTTCTGAAATCGAAAAGAAATGCCGCTCAATTGTGAATGGGCATGAACAATTGTCGATAAGAAATGTCAAATCATTTTAAATAGTAAACAGTAATACTGGGGAAGCTTTGAGTCGTTTACATGCATTTAAAATTTCGTACATAATTCTATTTCTACTTGTTAAAATCATTCACTATAATTCTATTTTATAATAAATTTTTTAATTAATTACATAAATTAACATATATAATATAAGCTCATGTGAAATGTGCCCTTGAAATCTCTAAACATAAAAAATATAACATTGACATTTATCGGTGACATAAAAAGATTGATATGTGAGATAAGAATGGGTTGAAAATTTTATAATAAAAAAATGAAAAATTAATAAAACTATAATTAATATGTAAATTTTGATTAGATTTTAATTTTGTTTAATTAAAAATTAAATGTGCCCTTGAAATCTCTAAACATCAAAAATATA